CTTTTTGTAGGAAACCAGTGTTGTGTTTCAAAACTGAAACAGCATTACTGATTCCCGCTTGTATTCTTGTCACCATCACACAATGATTTAAAGCTCCTTTTCACATGTCCACCTCCTGCTCACACACCTTGTGTCAGTAATAGCAATACCTTCTGTCTTCTCCTTTCCCTAAAATTGTTTTTCTTTGTGCACTTTGACAAATCTGAGACTTGTGTGAATGGAGGATGTACTGGTTTGTTCTCAGGTGAAAGCTTTAGGTTAGGTATTCAATATGCAAGTTCAATGTGACATGTGTTCACACACATTGTGACCCGATGGCAATAGCTGCACAAGAGTGCAAAGACCCCAACTATCATGTACACACTGTCCGTCTATAGTTCACCTAAAGAGTGTCTGTGCAGCATCTGCTGTGTCAAAAGTCACCCCTACACCCTCAGTGACATCACTAAGTGAATGCGAGTGATGCATTTATTAGGAGAAACATACTGTACTGTATTTGTACCAACTGTAAGGTAAATTAAGCCAATGCTCCTGTCAAAATAAAGGAAAGAAAAATACAGCTCACTGAACAATCTGTGTATTTTTTAAGCTGACCAGAAGGTGGCACTGGTGGTCCGTGAGCGTGAACTGGAGTCAGTAAATCAGTCAGTGAGCCACTGTTTGGACAATTTGGTGTTTTGTTTCCTCTTAGATGTTTAAAACGGAAAATAATCAAAACATTTTTCTTTTTTCCTCTTTGCAATGGAAAAAAAAAGATCACAGTACCACATCTGTGCAATTAGTAAAAAAATAAATATACTGTAGAGAATTTGGTGTAGAAAACATTAAGTCTGATTTTCAGGTTCATGTGGAGCCATGTGCTACATAAAAGTTTATTCAATACAAAGTATGAAACTTTTTTGTATTGAATGAGTAAGTTCTGTTTTTCAGAATCGTGAAACAAGCATCAGAAGCAAACAAGCTTCTTTTATTTAAGTCACAATTCTACAGAAGGAACACTACGAATATTTTAAAATATGCTTAAAGGGCCAAAAGTAAAATACTCATTTTCAGTTTATTTATTTTATTGGATTATAACTGATTCCTTGATTTAAGTATTACTTTAATGTGTCAGTTGGAGAGGACTGTAATGATAAATCCTATATAATCCTGAGCCTGTCTCTTCCTGTTAAAAGGGAGTTTTTCCTTCCTACTGTTGCCAAAGTGCTTGCTCATAGGGGGTCATATGATTGTTGAGTTTTTCTCTGTATGTCTTATTGTAGAGTCTACCTTACAATATAAAGCACCTTGAAGCAACTGTTATTGTAATTTGGCACTATATAAATAAAACTGAAATGAATTGAATATGCTAATGGGTAATTTTCTATACTTATAAATGTCCTAATATCCTGTGATGTGATGCTTTATATTTTAAAATCTGCAAAAAAAGTAAAGAAAAAACTATGCTGTGGAGTACCAAGTAGAATATTTTTCATTTAGTATAGTAGAAGTGGAAAGTAGAATAAGACAAAAATGCATAAGTTATTCTGTTTCACTTCCATTCAATGTCTGGTTTAGTCATATAGCAATAAATCACAAAACAATCACCTCAAAGTGCTTTCTACTGCATGGTAACCCTACAGTATTCGGAAGAAAATCCCAACTATTAAATCAGCACTTTGCACTGTAGTCAGAAAAAACTCCCTTTTAGCAGGAAGAAACCTTCGGCAGTCCTAAGCTTGGGGAGGGGAAGTCATCTGCCACTACCATTTGGTGGGTGAGGAGAAAAGGACAAACAAAAAGTGAGGATAGGGATCCAGAACAAAACACAGACTACAGTAAGAGAGAGTGAAGACAAAAGTTCAATGATGCACTTAACAGCAGAAAGCTCTGCCTCCCATTCTACTTTTAGAACTACGAGTCAGCCGGTAAGTCAGCCGAAGTGGTCTGTTGGGATAATATAGTACAATGAGGTCTTTCAAGACCAGTGTTGGTCAAGTTACTTGAAAAAAGTAATCAGTAACTAATTACTGATTACTTCCCCAAAAAAGTAATCCCGTTACTTTACTGATTACTTATTTTCAAAAGTAATTAATTACTTAGTTACTTAGTTACTTTTTAAAAACACGATTTACAACCTGAAGAGGTGATAAAGCGATAGATCTTTCAGCCCAATTCTACTTTTTCTGCATAATCCATCATACAAAATGTAATCAAATGGAAAAGTCTCTTTTTTTAACTTGTTTTATCAGTTTTAATCTTTTAACTTTATGCATCAAGCAAAAATTTAATTATATGCAACATTCTCTGACTTGAATAAATTAGTTTAACATTTAAACCTATTTTCTGCACATTCCAGCACATAAAATAAAATATTTTTTGTGTTTACACTCATCTTTCAAATAGATGCAAGTAAAACACAGCAGAAAATAAATAAAGTCAAAGACTCAGCGGTCCTGTTGCTCTATTTTCACCTGTAAAGCAGGACTGGGGTAGGCGGAGGTTTACCCTGGTGCAGGTGTGCCGCGGTCAGTTGAAGAATCCGCGAGTTTCTCTGTGAGTTTCCCATTACGTCGTTGCGCACTCGGTGCTTGCTTGGAAGTTTAGGGTTTTTTTTCGCTGTAAAAAGAAGTTTTCTTCCCACGCACAACGGACACTAATGTTTTTGTCACTTTTTATGGAATCAAACTCAAAGTAAGGTCAGTACTTCCACGCTTTAAACGCTGCACGCTCATACTCTCTCCCACAATCGATATGTGATCCATTGTTGATCTGCACACAGCTGTTGTCACTAACGGCGCACTCGCTTACGTCACTGTCATGAGACATTCTCGCAAAAAAATCACGGTTTTAGTAACGCAGTAACGCAGCGTTCCTACGGGAAAGTAACGGTAATCTAATTACCGTTTTTGCAATAGTAATCCCTTACTTTACTCGTTACTTGAAAAAAGTAATCAGATTACAGTAACGCGTTACTGTAATGCGTGAAGAGAAGGATTTTAAATTTCAATTCTGGATTTAACGGGAAGCCAGCAAAGATAAAGTAATTACAGGGGAAATATGATCTCTCTTTCTAGTCCCCGTTAGTACTCTTGCTGCAGCTTTTTGGATTGACCGAGAAAGCGGCATGAACTAGTTTTTCAGCATCACTCCGTGGCAGGATTAAAGAGATTGGACAGATGCAAGAAAGCAACCCTATATGTATTTAATGTGTGTGTTGAAGAACATATTGTGATTAAAAATGACACCAAGCTTCCTCCAGTGTTACTGGAGGCCAAGGTAATACCATCTAGAGTAAGAATCTGGAGAGATACCATGTTTCCAAGATCTTTAAGACATGTCTGTTTATCTAACTGATTTGTGTCATTTGGCTTCATAGATAAAGCTGGGGATCATCTGCATAGTGATGACAATGTATGTTGCATTTTCTAAGGTTAGTGGTCCCAGCATAGAACCCAGTGAAACTCCTTGACTAACTGTCATGTGTGTAGAAGACTCTCCGTCTTCATGCGCAAATTGGAATTTATGAGCTGGATGCGATTTCAACTATTGCAGTGCATTTCCTTTAATACCTGCAATGTGTTTTAATCTCCAGGTCTAACAGCATAAGCACAGATAGCCCACTGTCAGTTGTTTCTGTGCATTCCTATGCAAATGATCAGTTAATTGTCTTTTGATATACAGTGTATCTGGAAAGCATTCACAGTGTGTTTGAATTATGCCTGGGATTCAAAGCTTGCTGATTTATTGCTTTCTTTTTATCCAGAGTCGTACACAGTAAGGATGTAAAACTATTAACAAGATCATCTATCTCTGTTGGAGTAAAGTTGGATTGTTGCTCTGGTTCACGTTGTTAATAGACCTCTCTGCACTGAATCATCATCTTGTTATTAACCTCCTGTCTCTCTTCCACAGCATGTCTTTATCCTGTCTTCCTTCTCTCACCCCAACCATTGCAGCAGATGGCCCCGCCCCTCCCTGAGCCTGGTATCTGCTGGAGGTTTCTTCCTGTTAAAAGGGAGTTTTTCCTTCCCACTGTCGCCAAAGTGCTTGCTCATAGGGGATCATATGATTGTTGGGTTTTTCTCTGTATGTTTTATAGGTTCCACCTTACAATATAAAGTGCCTTGAGGCGACTGTTGTTGTGATATTCTTTGTGAATATCTATAACAAATATTTTTTTTTTTATAGTAGTTAATCTTTTAGGTGGTCTGGGAGCAGATAGTCTCTAGAAGGGTAGGGTTTTGTGTCTAATGGCCATTATTCTGTTTAAATGAATTAGTCTCTATTAAAATTAATTGTTCAGTTTGTGAGTCCATGCTTATTGTAAGTGGTAACTGACTAAGGAAACAAACCTGAGATTAACTAACTAATTAAGAAATCAAGTGAAGACGTAAAGGCATATTAAATTTATATTGCAGTTCTCTAATTTGCTCTCATGTTATGGTGTTATGCAGTGTAAAATTAACACTGTGAGACATTAGTGTTGGGACACCAGGGAAGGCTGGACACACCTCTGAGCAAAATACAATGAAACAATGCTTAAAAGCCAGATTATCCAGTTGTGTCAGAAAAGGACTGGAGTTGAGTCGAGAGACAGAGAGAGAGAGATGAATGCGATTGTTGCTGTGTCTTCCTCTTTGTCACCAGCTTCCTCTGATCAGCCCTGGCAAACCTGTAGTTATATTTTTCTATTATCTTCAGCAGTTAATTGAATAAGCACATTGTAAGGTAAGGTTATATAGGAGACTTTAATCACTGATCACTAAGACAATGATTAATTATAAAGGAATGCCACACTAATTATGACAGAAAATATTTAATAGAAGAACAGCAGGGTGAAGCTGTGCTATGAAAGGAACCCAATCCAGATTAGTCAAGTGTGACATGCTTGGAGCAGATACCAACTGACCACTTTAGCCAGGGCCATGCTTGCAGGTACCTGATTGTCAGCACCTGGAGTACCAGAAGGTTAATAGGAGGATAAGCT